GGGGGGGGGGGTCCGGGGGCAATAACATCAGCGGGGTGAATATAACTATAGACTGTGCCTAGGACGGATACCACGAAGGCGATATACCTATTGTTTAATTACTGGAGATTAAAATCACGATAAACTGTTGGTATGGACTAGTTGCTATCGTTTGCACGCTCAATAGACCCTTAGCTTTGGTAAAGTCCTGCAGTAGAATGTATGAAAATAGATTGTGCTACTGCGAAGAGTGAGCGGTGTGTTGCATCTTACTACACCTGGGTCTATATTTTATATCCATTACACCTTCTGATACCAACAGTATACAGCCCGTGAGCTGGCTGACTAGCGCAGTACTTGTAGTCTAATACTGTTATACTTCACTAACCGTCTAGTTCCTGTTTAGCTAACATGCCAGGAACCAGGCTACAGTCAATTGCACGAATAAGCATTGCCATGGCCCGCTGGTGTGATAAGCACGAGCAACTAGACTTGATTCCAGTAGTTCTCACATCCCCCTCCTCTCTCTTCTCAAGCTTCTCACGCTCATACCCTCAACTATACACTGTAAACTGTCCCTCCCAGTCCTCCCACTCAACACTCTCAGCTACCATGGTCACCCCCTGGAATAAGGGCACGCACTCCGCCCTCGTCCCACTACCCGAACCCGGCCCCTCCCTCTTCCTCTCGGCCGCGGGCCCCGAACGCCAGAAGCACAATGGTAGCCTCCCCCCGGCCGTGATCATTGAAGCGGGCCTCGGCAGCTCGCACGTGGAATGGGTCGCGGTGCAGCGCCTGATCGCCGCCCGGGCGCGCGTCTACACCTACGACCGGGCCGGCTACGGGCGCAGTAGCGGACAGCCCTCCCCGCTGCCGCCGACAGCGCACAACCGCGTCCGCGAGCTGACCCAGCTTCTCGACGCGGCGCAGATCCCGCCACCGTATGTGTTGATCGGCCACTCCTACGGCGGGGTCCTGGTCCGCGAGTTCCTGCGCCAACGCGGCCCCGACGTCGTCGTCGGGATGGTGATCGTCGATTCGCCGCGGGCGCCGACCCCCTTGCCTGCGGATTGGCCGAGTTTGATGGGGCAGTCAGATTACTATGCTATTGTCGGGTTGGATGAGAATGTGGCGGTGGCGCCGGAGGAGTACCGCGCGATTAAGGAGGATGAGGTGAGGAATCGGGCGACGGCGGAGGCGGAGTTGGCGCTGATTGCGGCGAGTACCAAGGAGTTGAATGAGGCGATTCCCGAGGGGATGCAGGCGCTTGGGGATAGAAGGTTGAGTGTGATTTTTGCGAATGAGTCGGTGGATTTTGGGAAGGTTTATGCTTATGGGGTGGAGCATGGGCATGGCTCGGAGGAGGCGAGACGGCGGCTGGCGGAGCGGCTGGCGGTCATGGAGGAGATGGATGAGCGAGGACAACGGGCTCATCTGTCGCTGTCGAGTCGGAGTCGGTTTGTGTATTCGACAGGGAAGGCGAGGACGCATAATTTGCAGTTTGTTGCACCGGAAGTGATTCGGGATGAGGTGTTTTGGGTCCTGGGGTTGGTGGATTGAGGGTTCCGGTTATCTGGGCGGATCGAGATGGTCGCATTGCGCCTTTTACTGCCGGAGTAACCCTTTGATCTTTTAGACTTGTCGAGCTTGAAACATACTACATGGTGGAAGATGCGCATAGCTATTAGTCAAGAATTGAATAAGGCTGCTCAAGAGCATCCTGGCCTGCTTTGTGCATGAAGAGCACTACCGTTCATCCTGGTCGGAAGAAGCTGATATGTCAATTCCAACGATATCCACTTTATATATCAAGCCCTTTTCTATCACCGACGTGCAGATCGATGCAGATCAAGTACCAAAGCTATGAGAGAGACAAAGGGTGTGCGCCAGGCCTGATTAGACCCGCACATCAGTCACTGCTAATTTGCGTGCTTCATGGCACTTGACCAGATATTAGCAACGCGGTGAAGGATGACCGGTGATTATAGCGCAGAATCTAGGGCGCGATCACATTTGGCCTTGCGTCGCTGACCATCAGCACTCACGCTCGGACGGGCGCAATCTGTGGAATTGTAGAGAATGGCGTCGCTTGGCTTCAAACTACCAAGCTTTTAGACGCACATGCTGCAGAAAGTCCCGGAGTCCGAATGCCAGGTTTGTGGTTTGTTGATTGGAATAAAAAGGGATGAAGGGGAAAGCCGGGGTTTATGAGGGCCGAACTTGACGCCACTTGGTAAGCCTCGCACTTTCTAACCCCCGACCACTGGGTTCTGCAACCCCCGGACCGCTGGTCATGCTCACTACGAATTGTTTGATGTCAAAATCCTGGAACGCCCTCTTAGCCCCTTGCGACCCTTTAAAAACCTTTAATTCCTTCGACAAGTGATCTGCCTGCGGAACAGACTCACCACTCGTGCGTTGTCATCCGATTGATTGCGCCCTGCCTTGCGGAGCGCCGAACTCCACGTTATCATGGATCCCCCGCGCACTTCTACTTCTGCGAGCATCAAGTCAGCTGGTACCAATAATCCGGAGTTGGTCAATCAGGACAAGGCAGCAGCCAGAAACGAAGGGGCAGCCAATGCTGGGGGCCCCTCTGGGCCTCCGGGCCCACCCGAGGGTCAATCGAGACTTAGGGTTGTCTGTCTGATCGTCTCGGCCTTTGTCGCTATGTTTCTGGTCGCACTGGACAGAACAATTATCTCGACTGTACGAGCATCCTTTCTTATGTTCTGTCCTGACTTGACGCTGATGTGTACGCAACTCATAGGCCATTCCCAAAATCACCGACGAATTCAACTCCTTCGACGACGTCGGCTGGTACGGAAGCGCCTACTTGTTGACATGCTGCGCATTTCAACTCTTGTTTGGCAAGCTGTACAGGCTCTTCTCTGTCAGAACAGTCTTCCTCGCCAGCATTCTACTGTTTGAGGTTGCTTCTGCCATCTGCGGTGCTGCCCCCAACTCCGTGGCCTTCATCATTGGAAGAGCCATCTGTGGCGTTGGGGCTGCCGGTATCCTTGCTGGAACTGTGAGTCGAAAAGATCTCCCTTATCGGCGGATTACTTTTGATAACCGTACCCTAGATCATGTGCATCATCCATTCCGTACCTCTACAAAAGCGTCCCCAAATCCAGGGGCTGTTCGGTGCCCTGTTCGGCATCGCCTCAATCGTCGGACCCTTGATCGGCGGCGCCTTTACATCGAACGTGACATGGCGATGGTGCTTCTATGTCAATCTGCCAATCGGCGGCGCCGCTATGGTTTTCATTGCCCTTTGCCTCAAGGTTCCAAAGCAAGATACTACCAGAGTCTCGTGGACCGAGAAGCTGAGACAGCTGGACTTCCTCGGCACTACACTCCTGGTCTCTGGCGTAGTCTGTCTCATACTGGCACTCCAGTGGGGTGGCCAGACGTATTCTGTATGTCGTCGAGACCACTACCTGGAATCACAACTGATGTTCAGCAGTGGAGCAACGGCCGCGTCGTGGCTTGCCTGGTCCTCGCAGGCGTTCTGCTCCTTTCGTTCATCGCCGCGCAGATCTTCCTTCCCAAGACCGCGACGCTCCCCGTGCGAATCTTCTCGCAGCGCAGCATCATCTCCGGATTTTGGCAGACCCTCTGCGTGGGCTCCGGCAATTACATCTTCGGTAGCTTACACCCCGTCCGACCGCAAACCATGACACGTCACTGACACGAATTGCAGTATACTTCCTCCCCATCTGGTTCCAATCGATCAAAGGCAACTCCGCCGTGGAATCCGGCATCCGCCTTCTACCCATGATGCTGGCGATGGTCGTCGGCTCGATCGGTGGGGGCATCACCAACTCCAAGGTCGGATACTACACCCCCCTAGCCATCATCGGATCCTGTATTATGTCTGTCGGCGCTGGTCTCCTCACCACCTTCCAGGTGGACACCGGCGCGGGCAAGTGGATCGGCTACCAGATCGTCTACGGATTAGGTCTGGGGCTGTGCTTTCAGGTTCCCAATCTCGCGGCGCAGACCGTCCTGCCTAAGCCTGACGTGCCGTCTGGGTTGGCACTGATGCTGTTCGGCCAGCTCATTGGGGCGGCGGTGTTCGTGTCGGTCGGAGAGAATATCCTGGCTAATCAGCTGGTGAAGAGGCTGTCCGGGCTGCCGGGGTTTGATCGCGGGCTGGTTACCTCCGGAGGTGTGACGGAGCTGTTGGATGCGATGCCGGCGGATCTGCGTGGTACGGTGCTACATTCGTATAATGAGGCGCTAAGGAGGGTGTTCTGGGCTGGGTTGATCATTTCGTGTTTGACGCTGCTGGGTGCCGCAACGCTGGAGTGGAGGAGTATCAAGCAGGGGCAACCTCAGCCTGATGCGGAGAAGAAGGGGGAGAATGCAGAGAAGAGTGTGGATGCTGCAGGGGGTCAATAGGCTTCAGGGGGTTTGTTTGTCTTCGATTGCTTTACTTGAGAGTTGGGAAATAATACGTATCTATTAGCTAGCTTTCCGATGGTAATTCTATTTTAAATCAATACATATTCGCTTCTCTGGCTCGGGCGGTCTTATCTTTGGTAAATGGTTTCTATCCGCCGCGCGTCCGACACTATCATTTCTTTCGAGGACTATGTAGACAGACTTCACAATCTTAGTTGCGTGCCTGGCCAGTCCAGAATATATAGGAAGCATAACCGTCTCCCAGCGTACCCTAATTTGGGACTTGGCCACGGGTACCAGGTATACAAGTATGACGACCAGCAAGATATGGTCTACCATGATCCAAGCATTTACTAGCCCCATGGCCGGTCGCATCTCTGAGTGGGAAAGAGGGGAAGTAGTGTTCAGGAAAGGAGGCACTCCAGGTGCTAGTCGGCGGGTAGAAAGTCCGAGCAGTTTCGCTGTGAGATTGAGGCTCGGGGATTAGGATGTCCGCCGGGCGCTCATGAGCCGGTAGGCCTAGGGTTGGCGGCGCCACATAGATGCCTGAGAAACACTATAAAAGCAGATACAGAATTATTGAGGTTGATGGACGAGGTTTGCGTAGTTGAAGGACTTTGACATTGATGAGGCTAGAGGGGCTATACGTTTATTTGATTGATACTGTGTACAGGCACGGCATGAGATATCAGCATTACATATGCTAGCCCAGAGTTATCACATACCTCGCTCGTTACTACTGAAAATAAGGGGTTGGATATCGAGTTTTTATCTATGATATCATCCCAAAGATAGTAGCAGTAACAAGCGGCGAATTTCGCGCTCGATCGAGAAAGAGTAGATATGTATTCGGGGTATACAGTCACCTACCACTGCTCACGCACCGCGACTCCCCGCGCCTCCTTAAACCACAGCTCAATGAGTTCACGATCGATATCGACATGCATCGCCCTGGGTCCCCACAGCAGAGTCGGATGGTACTCGGAAATTATCGCTCCCGGTTCACCCAGCACCTCCCGGTAAAATCGCACCAGGCAATTTCGGTAGATCACCCCGTAGAAAGGAGACGCCTGGGGAAGAGTGGTCCGGTACGCATGCATGCCCTGGACCAGCTTCAGTTCCAGGTCGTCCCAGCCCAGCTGGTCAACGTCTGGGCCTAGCGCTCTCAACGTGCAGCCGATGACGGGCCCTTCTGTGCCAGACAGAAACAATGGGCCGAACAATACAACGCAATCATCCATTATGGAGGGATTCGGGAGTAAATTTAGACTTTGGTTGTCTGTGTTATGAGATAGTCAGGTGATAATCTTGACAGGTCCAGATGGATGGCGGTGTGGCCAAGGCGAGTTGTTAAAGTGGCCATGATCATTTTTATAGACCTCCTGGCCACTAGGAGAATATCACAGATTATTGGGTGGAATACCGTCAAGAAAAGGAGAATTCCACTTAGACAAAGGAATTCATCGTATAAAGCTTATGAGCTCCCTTAATGTATGAAAGAAACTCAGCGGGCGGGCCCTATCTAAGTCCTTTAATCGATTTCCAGATACAAATCAATCACCCCTTTGGATTAGACCCACCTATAGGTTTCCTTCCCCATGGGTTTTAGCACTACGGGTCATGGGCCACATTTTGCATAGGTCTAGCAGCATGCTTTCCAGTAAACATCGATGTATTCATTACTTGTCTTCCAACATGGTAAGAGACCTTAAATGGTGCATTCAAGTCTATTTGTGATATACATAGCTACCTAATCTATCAATATCCACTGCACAATCTATAACTGCAATCCATTCGCACTGGGTGTAATAGATTCGCAACAACGGTTTGAAGTGCTCAACTTCAAACTTTTGCACCTCACGGGCGCGATTCTTCAAGGCAGTACAGAGGACTTTCCAGTAAAGCATGAGAGTCCAAGCAATAGGATTGATAAGACTCTTATTTTCTTGTTAGTAAACGATGCAGTAAAGATTTAGAGACTATAGAGAACTTACGCATCGATGATACTAAGTGCAAGGGTAGCAGCCCAGAGAGAATCTGCTCCCTTTATGTACCGCTTCCTGTAACAATAGTCATGCTTGTACCCTCCACAGCCTCCAGAATGATGCGCAGCTAGGGTTCCGACCGTTGCAATCCAGAATATAGCCGTTATAGCGTTTGATGCGATTACAATCCAAGCCTTGTAGGCATACCTGGCGACTATGGAAGTTGTGACGATGTATATCGCCGCCAGGATAGTCGCAATTCCCTTGCATTTATCAGACATCCGATATAACGAATCTAGGGTAATAGACGTGGCTGTAGTGTGTGATATCACTCACTGTAAAGACAGCCAAGGCGTATGAGCTTGAAGTATGCTCTGAAAGCTTCGCTGCCGAGCAACCAATTATGACCAGGGCAATAAGCGACTGAACAGCGTGGATACCATATTTGAACAGATGCATCATGGCCATCTTCCAAGGTTGGTGTCGCTTTCTAGGTGGCGTTTTAGAGTATTTGAGAGTGACTTGGTACCTTTGTGAATGGGATGGACTTCAGGATCGTGGTATTCCTAAATATTCTCAGAGCTAGGAAATTTTTCATGGATGCCTAGTACTAGTAAACCCATGAGGCCCGTTCTCACCTCAAAACAGACAAGATCTTGTCGTTCATGTGGGCACGGAGCTGCTCGTTCCAAGGTAGGTAGGTTAACAGAAACAGAAAAGGGAGAGAAAGATTGAGCCACCGAGATTAAAAAGTCAACAGAGGCCCACCGAATCTACCGGAACTATTGTTGCCTGCACGAATTCATTCGATAAGCATGTATTTTAGTATGACGTCGGCGACGATCAGCCCTGTTTCAAAAGTGGCCCGGATGTAAACAGATTCCGCTCACGTGAGGCATGAGAAACAGCTCTTCTCAGGAAGAACATTGAATGTTGGCACTCTCTATATGACTAGAGAAGTATAATACCGTTGAATTGCTTTGTGGCTTCCTATATATTCTCAGTTGAGATCCGAGTTTTAATATCAATAACGTGCGCTGGGAGGGTAGCGTGGCCTATCGTTTACCGCAGTACATATCCAATGTGGAGGCTGATATAGGAAGATGAGAAGTCCGTCAAGTCACAACCGCGGCCCCAAGCATGAATACATGCGCTCTTCCTCGCAAACATTCGAAGAAGACATCCCAGTAAGTCATCGGGCTTCCTGTCGGTTCTTATGTTGCCCAACGGGCCTCATACCAAGATACCTAAACTAAGTTAGAACAAGGAGTCACTTCCAATCCGATATAAAACATCATCTTTCAAGTAATAAGATAAACATGTCCATATGGCGAAAGGTGGAGTTTTTCACCCCGATTAGACTTCTAAGCATAGATCGTTCAAGTATTGTACGAGAGAATAAATCCAACAACATGGAAATACTTGGTTCGAGATTGATATATCATCAAGGCATCTGGGCGGGGTCTAGGAAAATCGGATAATTCCCCGCTCATGTGATACTATGTCATGTGAGCGGATCTGAGGGATCTGAGCGGATCTAAGCGGAGCAATGTGGAAACCAGACTCGCTTCAAAAAAAATCCTCACCGTCTTAGTAATTTTCGAATTGTGGAAACGTGATCAAACCCCTAATCAGATTGAACAGAGATTCCGCGGAATGCAAATCAACACGGCCGCGGAATGCCTGTGAGCCTGTCGGTAGGTCCCACAACCACAACCAGAACGTCACGTTCATTCTGGCTATATAGGAGGGAAAAAACAAATGCCCAGGAGAGAAACCGTCCTGTTTATTCTGCGTAAGATCGAAGCAAAAATGTACCTACGTGCAGAAAAGTTCTTCTGGGAGAGTTCACAAGGTTCATTGTTGGTTTCGACCGAAAGTATACCACAATCACAGGTTTCCAGGCATTGTAGAACTTCTTCCTAACCACATCACACCTCAGTCTCGCCTCAGCTCCCAGAAGCAAATTACTAGACTCGAAGCTCAGATCGATCGTATCAACAGCACCCTCAAGTAATACCAAATCAATTCTACCTATTACTTGTATGCTGACGATTTGCCTGTCAGGGTCCTCACAAGTCCTTTTAGACTAAACTTTCCCGCAACCATGCAAGAGAGTGAAGTAATACCTGAAGAGATTACAACAAACCGGGGACCTGAAACTTCAGCAATACAAGTAGTGTCCTCACAAGAAAAGTTCTATCTCTCTGCATTGTAGGTTTCCGAGTTGGTCCTTGCATTGTATCAGAGGGGAACTAATAACCACAGTCCTTTATCCCCTCCCGAGGCTTGGCTACGGTTTGTCGAGATTTACAGAACGAATGTCTATTTTCAACCTTTTTCACTCTTTGACCATGCCGGATTGGCGTCCCGAGTTTCCCAATGGCCATGTCATTTGTTGCAAAACTTCCTAGCGATATGCTTAGTTTTCGAAGATCACCCCTTTTACCGGTCTGGTAGATGAAGTGCACAAAATCACTGCGTTCAGTCATCCCAAAGAAACAATCATTCCACTCGCAACCGAGAGAGTAGCTTCACTTGAAGTCCTGCAGACGTTATGCCTCTTGGCATTGTGCGATATTGCAGGTCAGTTTCAAATATTCTGATGACGTTTTCACCATAGCTGGCGAAATCATCTAACTGCATGTTAGCTGACCAAGATAATAGGTCTTCTATGAATATTGCCATAGCTTCGAAACTGGCTAAATCCTTGGCGCATAACTTGAACGCTGCTGCCCAGGAGCCCCCAACCAGGAGGGACGACGAGGCTGGATGCTTTTGGACGGTGTTTATTCTTGAAAACGCATTTGCAAAAGATCGCCAAGCACTCTTAACGGGAAACCTGAAATCACCTCTGCTACATGATCCAAAGATTGCGAGCTTTGGCCAGCCACCATCCTTATTTGAATTGAATCCACCAAATCATCATCATCATCATCATCATCAAAAATTGGTGCTGATGATTCTCAAGACCTTAGCATTTTCTCTATTGTATAGTATGAATCTTCTCTCAACATGGGGCAAGGTGATGGGATATGCGTTCAGGGCAATCGGAAGATGCTTGGGTAGCCTCTTCCACGCACTCACATCTGATTCAAGAGATTTATCAATTTGAGACCAGCCTACCCCAAAGCCACCGGTTCAAGAACTTGGGACTAGACAGAAGGCCTCCTGATGATGTTCCTCAATACAGAGAATACTGGTCATCCTGGCTACTTTTACAGACTACCTTTCATGCCGCACATGCGCTTTTGAACCACCCGATTCTTCATGTTCTCGGAAATGAACGCCCGAGGAACAAACGATCCAGATTTCGACCACCGTCCTTTGTTCAGAACACAACTGACCAGGCAATTTCACACGCGGCTGGACATCACAGTTAATTGGCATCGCAGATGATCTCAACATTGAAATAAATAATTCAGTTATCGGCCACCAAGTTATAGTTTGCGCCACCGTTCACTAGGTGTTCTCATTTGCTAGTAATGCTGCCGTTGCTGAGCAAGCTATATCAGACTTAGGTTCATGCCAGCAATTCATAACAGAAATTGCATTTCGTTGGCCACAATTTTGGGGGAAAAGTAGTGCTATGCAGCTATTTATTCATCATTCCAGGCAAGCGTGTTTGATCATTTGCAGAATTTCCTCAAACAATCGAACAGCCCGTTTGGTGGTCGTGGTCTTCCAGGATTCAGTGCTTGACTTCTGTGGGATTTGATCAATCCATCTTCAATAAAGTCGGAAATGACGGCATTTTCAATCTGCGACCGTTGGAAAGCGTGTTCCAACTGACCACCTTGCCCGGCTTTACGAGCCACCGGTTTCAAGTAGCGACGAGTACCAAGACAACCGATTCGGAACAGAACCAGGCTCATATTCCGAACTGTTCATGCAGTTTCTGGGCATATCCATGGATGAAGGATTTCTGTCATCTCAGGCAATTTCGGAGTCATTGGATCAACGATATTTGACCAGCCTTGGACCCTTCGATGATCTTTAATTGGGAATAGGCCCTCAAGCCCATTCCTCTATCATGAATGATCAATCTTTACCTTTTGGAGATTACTTAGTACCAGTTATGTGTGGATGATATCGCTTACCCTGTACCATCGAGGAGAATTTTCGAAACTCCGAGTTGCAGCAAATGTGAATCCTTTTACACCATGTAATAAATATGGCACTTGGTGGAGGCCCGCCGCAGCTCCTGCGTGTTACTAGCCACCCGTAGTAATTAATTGAACCTGATATCGAATAAAATACTTCATCAATCCCACTATAAAGAACACTGACTAGCCATCCAAAAATTTGAAGTTTGCTGCATCCACCTCCCACTCATCATCGCCCGTCGCCCGTCTACGAGACCAAATCGATGACTCATTTGCTCACAACTTGGTCACGTTCTTCCAACGCGACGCGCCCTTGAAAGCAATGCCAAATTTTGGTGTCGTGAATCTTATTTTGCTCCCCCGGTGAATAAAAAAAGTATCACCTTTCTCAAGGGTGGCAGTTTTCCCAGTTTCATCCTCTAGCACGAGTGTTCCTTGGTCGGTCAGCGTTGGTACTCAGACACACCCAAGGGTGATTTTCTGGTTGACTACTCTCCCGCACTGGAAAATCTGTTTGTTGCTACTGGAGATAGCGGACAGTAAGTGTCTTACATCAAACGCTATTGAAGATACGGTTCTAATCCTAAATAGTGCGTTTAAATTTCTACCAGTTCTAGGACGCTACGTTGCAGACAACTTCGAAGGGAAGGCTTCAGATCACCAGAAAGAGAAGTGGGGATGGAAGCAGACTTCTGTTCCAATTTCTCGTGGCGATGGCAGCAGAGGCGGTCCTCCTCTCCGACGGCTGACTAGGGATGAACAGGCTCGTTTGTAGATTTAGTTAAAGTCTACGCAATTTGCGAGAATTTGCCTCTGATCTAAAAGAGCCTACCTCCGTACCATTCCTAGAATTCAAAGTTCTCCTCAATATCTTTCATTCAAACCAACCAAGAACCTACAGTAAGAATTATGTGGCTCGATCTTATTAAGATCATCTCGAAGATGCTACTTCTATGATCAACATCACTCTAAGAGTCTTGAATGGAAGTATACGCCACCTTGTATACAGGACTGAATTTCTATGAAGAGAGAACTATTTGACCATTTGAGGTGCATAGAGGGTATAAAAAGGCCTCCCTGCATATTTACCATGTGTTGAACTGTTGGCGCTCAATGCTGCCGAGTTGTACATATTGGTACAAACATTTTGAATATTATATTTTAACACGAAGGCCACAGGTTTCTCAAGGCAGTACCACCATAAGTACATCACATCTTTAGACATGGGATGTTCTCAACTGTTGGTTGGGAGGATCATCCGAGACTGATTGCTTAGTGCTAGAACGAACGAAAGAGGTTATGTACATATATCTGTAGTTACTAGTGAGGAGATACATATCGATGATCTGGTAAACCGCCTTAACACCATCCCTCTTCAGTTTCTCTGGCCATGTATTGAAAGCCAATTTAACCGCCATTTTCAATGGCCATGGCCGTAACTTTCTGATGAATCATTTCATCTGTTATCCGCACAGGAAAATGCGCCATGCGCGGTTTTGGCGCTAACTGCAATGCCTTTCCCTGATACCCAGAGCCCCATTCCGCACTGTAAACCTTTGTTAGCATGTGTAGTATCGTAAGATTGGTAAGTGGGTCTTCTCACCATGACGCAGCACATCAGCACAAGGAGTACATTCAAAACTGCCAAAGAAATCTTTCGGGCGGAGGTGATTTGTCCTTTATTGATGTGCAGCCAGAACAGACCCTCCAGTCCGAAAGTAAACCAGCTTGCAAAAGCAGCAGCTAAGACATTGAGTAGATCATTGAACACAGGAATAGCATTCGCTATAACCCAAGCAATGACCCAAAGAACGAAGACAATTAGAACCCAGGTTCCGTAAGATACCAGAGATCGCTCATTCATTCGATTGGTACCACGAAACATCCGAACATAGATCGTTTTGGCTCCCACATGCGCAATAATCGCTCCCGCAATAACTATTGTACCGATGGCAACACCGAATGCGACTTTTGAAACAGTAGAGCTGGTACTTAGTAGTGCTGGACTTTTAACATTACCGCCCGCGTATCGGTATATAACAACAGCGACGACAAGATAAAGTGAAGTATCAGTTGCCTGGAGAGTAAATAATGCCTTGGAAAAGTCCTTCGGTTCGGCAAGCTCCGATTGGAAGCTGAAGAATGCCAAGTGACCTGCAAACGATATGACGATGTTTAGAGTGGCTGAGAAACCGGAAAGGAGAGTTGGGTGGTTGATGGCGTGGGCTATAGGATCGGGAGCCTCGATACCAATTGCGACGACTGTTATCATTACAGCTATGAAGATAGATAGTGAAGCTATGCATGATTAGCTTTAATCGATTAGGAATTTCGGAGTGGGTGTTGTCATACATATGATACCGAGATATGAAACCTCTTGTAGACGCCTTGAGAGGGTCAGAAAAAAGCATAGGATTGCTCCAACGGAGCAGAATATGACAGTGCATGCCCCGTGATTACTCAGTGTGTTCATCATAATTGAGAACGTCAATATATGAGCTCCCATTAGAAAGATGAAGAATAAGATTTGAGCTACCGTGGCGACCTCGCAACCCAGTGGTCCGAACAGAATCTCTGCTGCATCAGACATGTTGTGGACTTGCGGATTCCGAATTTTGAACTGTCCAAGAACGTAGCCCGTGTATGTCGTTAAAGCGCCGATGCCAATAATCAAGATGCAACCGCTGAGACAGATTGGATCTTAGCAATTGAGCCGTATATTAACGAGGACCAAGATTTACGAACGGTACAAAGCCTAAGGTAGCCATCGAAGAGGGCAGTGAGAGAATCCCCAGAGATATTGATTGAGCAATCATTACTGAAATTCGGTTAGAATACTTCAAATAGCCACATTGAGGGCCAAGCAAGGGTTACTCACATATAGCACAATGCCTGCATGAAAAGGAGTTCTCAGCTTTGTATCAATCTGCATGGGATGCAACAATTCACTTACCACCATTTCATACTCCGATACTGTACTTCAGCGCCCTCCTCACCCATGAATGGGTCCTGATGAGATTGTACGGGCATGGTTATCTTGAGACGCTCAGCATCGCTGGGGGTCTGGCGACCGGCTTGGTATTGTGAATCTCCCTCTTGAATGGAGACTCTATCATTCGCCTCGCCTCGATTCATCTTTTTGTCTGTGTAATCCATTGTCTGGGTTGGAGAAATACTAGCCGAGATTGGCGTTCAAATGGGAGAGCGACCGGGGCTGAGTTCTTGAAAAGTGCATTCTTTTCCTGGAACTCAGCTTGTATTTGATGGTGCTGGATGACTCTCCTGCTAGAGAGGTCGCATATCTGTTCAACCGTGGCAAATCTGCCTAGATTCAACTCCGCTTTCCCCTCGTTCTCAACCTTGTGGAGAATACGATACAACGATTGGCTCATATGCTATCTATATGGGGACGGTGAGATACAATCCGTGACTCTCCGTCCCCACACTGCTCTATTTCCCCGCAATCCACCCTACCACCTGCCAACCCCCACCAATCAAGCTTAAATGATTCTAGATAACAGACGGCTACGGAATGGACATATCTTTACGGACAGAGATGACTGGCACTGGTGAGATAACGAAAGTTTCGCTCACGTGCGCGGAGGTGAGCTTCCAATTGCCATATCGCGGTCTACCTATATTGGCTAGACCGCACTGCGGCTATCATCAGATATCCGAAAGATTTATACCGATGGAAGTTTTCAGAAACCTCCTGCATGACCCAGACTAACTAGATGTATCATTACTCCTCTCGTGTTCATCTACTGCGTTGACCACCATCGCCGAGGTCCGGCCGGGACATCGGATAAATAGCCTTTGACTCAGGACTGGCGGAGTTCGATGAGGTACATACTCCTTGATAAAATACTCCTTTGCTATATTCTCTGAAACTCCCGGTCCTTTCTTGACTGTTCTCCGGGTACAGGGATGTCGTCAAGGAATGCTGTTTCTTAATTGCCCTGCGATAGTCAGAAAAGCTTTACAGAATTGCCCCGGGGCCTTAATTTGCGGCTTTATGCCTCGAAAATTGAGCTTCTTTTGGAGGAGGTCTAATGCCTCGGACCTTTCCATCGGCGTTACTTCAAGAAGGTCCTTGTGGCCAACCATTCTTAATGCAACTTCTTTGCTCCGTCTCGTGATGATGGTAAATCCGATTGGACTCCTGGAAATATCTTTCAAAAGTGGTTTGATCGGTGCGTTCGTTGGCGCTCTAACCGGGTCGTCCTTTCTATCCGCTGGAAGTGAGTAAAGAAACTCGCTATCGACACTATCAAGGACACAACCCCATTTTCTTTTCTCTCATCCGGAGCCAATTTTCGACTACTTGAAATATATTGACTCTAGGGTTTCGACGCTCCGGGAGTTTGAGTTCATCTGCGATGTCCCTATTCATACAGCTGCAGAATAAATTTAAAGCTCAGCTATTCAATCTAATCTTATGATAAAAAATTTTTGAGTCACTCTACTAGGAAATACTAATTAGTGTTTTTATCGAGGATTGATTAGTTTCTAGATCTGTGACTGACCTCTCTAGCCAATCAGATAGCCAGCAGGGAGCATCAGGAAAGTGCGTTCGGCGTTCACTCTCATTGCTTGCAGGATTCTACCTCTTAGTTAACTGTAAAGCGGTTAGTGAAGGTACCGTCAAAATTCTTAGAGTTTGTGGTCTTCAATCTCTCAGCCATCAGTTTGTTTGTCGGGATGTGCTTTTCTGCATGCCATCTACTGCTGGTGATAATCTCAGTCGTTTGCGCCAAATGTCCGAATGTCCATGCAGGGGTGAAAAATATTAGATACCTTAAATTGACTGAATATGGACTGCAAGGCCAATGATGTGAAAAGAGAGTATACAAAGCCCTTCGCTCTTGGTGTCTATACCTCGCACGAGATAATTAGTTAGTGATTATGCACGTGATTACGAGGTACTGAATATTATTTGTAGGAAAGATGAAGTCTTCGGGCTAATGCTTCGACGAGCGGAACGCGTGTTGAGATTCGAAGGCCAAGGCCATGCATGAATTAGAGTACATGTTTGATGCACGCCTTGGACATGGGGCTTGACTTGCAGGTCGCAAAAAGAGCTGATTCCTTGTTCCCGGTCAGTGAGGTGCTACGACGCCAGTGTCGAAAGTCACAGTGCGTGACTCGAGCATCGCCGCAACCTCATTCGCCTCTTTGCAGAGAAGCTATGATGTAATGTGGTGCTGGTAAAACAGGACGAACCCAGAAACATCGCGTTAGACTCGTTGGGGTGTCTGCCCAGTGACAGTGCTCCGAGTGCGAGACCCGGCAACACCTTCGAATCCAGTAACCGAGAACACATCCTAATCAAAAATCCATTGGAGGCTAGTCTCAGTGAACCACAGACTGAAGCGAAATTCTCCGGTCGCGAGTGTGCAAAAAGGGGTAGACTCGGCTACTGCCACCGTGCGGAAGGAATCAAGGCAAGGACTTTCGGGCGGGACCTCTGAGGACCTTGCGGGAGTCCAGTGGAGCTCAGCCCTACAGGGCGTTCCATGTGCGCGTTGCCAGCATCTCGCTCTTGGCACCATCAATCTTGTTCTGCTGTTGCTATCTACGAGTCTGTGGTTGCGAATTAGATGCATCAGTGGCAGTCAATCTCTGATCCTGGAAATTGCCAGGCCCAAGAGTTTATCCTCCCTCTGCAATATTGCAACCACGTATTGAAGCACCTGAACTGAAATCGTACTCGAAGTGGACCAGGCAGCACAGAAAACGGATGCTCCACTCAGCTTCCACTCAATGGTCATCACTTCAGACGCTGACTCGGCAATGTGGCAGTTTGCCCCCACTGGGCTGACAGCGTTCGGCCAGTTCCTGTCGACTAAACCCTCCTCGACACTTTGAGAGCCCCGAAAGCGTGTCCATTTATCTAGCCTGCTATCCACCTCTACCCCAAGGTCCCCAGAACGACATCTATAAGACCTACACCATCGGACTACCATCCTCAACCATGAGCAGCAGAGCAGCCCAGTCCTCTCCTCCTCCGCAATCATGGCCACCTTTAACGCCTCCGACGTGAACCTCCACACGGCGAGCAAGGAGGACGTGCTCTGCTACTATGCCATCTCGGACAACGAGTACAACGGCCACCTGGGCGCGCGAATCTCCTCCATCTTCGTGATCCTCTTCGTCTCGACCGCCTTCACCTTCTTCCCCGTCGTCTCCAAGGGCCTCCCTAGCTGGAAGATCCCGCACAACGTCTACATCTTCGCCCGCTATTTCGGCACGGGCGTCATCCTGGCCACCGCGTTCATCCACCTGCTGGACCCGGCCTACAAGCGCATCGGCCCGAAGACGTGCGTCGGGGTCTCCGGGTACTGGGGCGAGTACTCGTGGTGCGCGGCCATCGTGCTGACGGCCGTCGTGCTGATCTTCCTCCTCGACCTGGCCGCCGAGGTCTACGTGGAGCACAAGTACGGCATCGAGCGCGACGAGTCGGCCACGAGCGCCTTCATCGCCCAGGACCCCTGCCCTTCCCTGCACAGCACCCACGACGTCGACCCGGAAGGGCGCAGCCGCAGCCGCATTCCCGACGGAGAAAAACCCCTGCCTGCCACCTCCACCAACTCCACCACCGCCTCGGCCTCAGCTGACGCCGACGCCGACGCCGACGCGACCGAAAGATCCTTCCGGCAGCAGATCGCCGCCTTTCTGATCCTAGAGTTCGGGATCATCTTCCACTCGGTCATCATCGGGCTGAACCTGGGCGTGACGGGGTCCGAGTTCGCCACCCTCTACCCCGTGCTGGTGTTCCACCAGTCCTTCGAGGGGCTGGGCATCGGCGCCCGGCTGTCGGCCATCCCCTTCGCCCAGCACGCCAAGCTGCCCTACCTCCTCTGTCTGGCCTACGGGCTGACCACCCCGATCTCCATCGCGATCGGCCTGGGCTTGCGCACGACCTACAACCCCAACTCGAAGGAGTCGCTGATCATCCAGGGGGTGTTCAACGCCGTCTCCGCGGGCATCCTCATCTACAGTGCGTTGGTGGAGTTGTTGGCGCGCGACTTCTTGTTCGATCCCTGCCGCACGCGCCGGCGGTCCAAGTTGTTGTATATGGTGGGCTGTACGCTGCTGGGGGCGGGCATTATGGCGCTTATTGGGAAGTGGGCGTGAGGGTGGAGGTTGGGTCTGTTGGAATTATGGTGGAGGGGGGGGGAGGACTGTGGATTAGTGTATATAAAAGTTACTCTATGCGACGCAAAGTATATCCGGGATAATTTGTCGAGCGAAATTGCATCCATTTTTCGTGGACAAACTCTCGTTTTTCTTTCGCTAGCTCTATGTTTCCGTGATCGACTCTGCCGGGTAAATGTTTAGCAGTAACTAGTCCGGCATCTTGTGCGGCTGCGACCGGGACAAACGGTAGCTAGAACACAAGGACTTCTGTGAATTGGTGTTGCGGTTACAAGCAAGTCGTTTCATGAGATTCCCAACCAGACGCAGGCGAGTACTTTTTCAAAGCTCGTAACCAAGCCAGGACCATGGTAGTAGAGAATATACTCTTCAAACCCAGTGTCAAGTCCATTCATAAAGCATAGACTGCATTAATATATATCATGATATATGAGAATATACACAACGACGGGCGCCCGTCTTCTCATCCGGTATAGTATAAACAAAACACGCGCGACTCATGATGATCCGGTCATCACTCGTCATAACCCCTTTATAGTAAGATCGTGGAACATTACGGGAGGATTTCTATCCGCCATGGCGGGAAAAGGTTGATCGTGTCTAGCAGCAGCACTCGCAGCATTCGAAGCAGCAGAGACCGGCGCAGCTGGGTTTTATTAGTGATATCCGTTGAATGAAAGGTTGGGGGTAGGAACTTACACTCCACAGCAGACGTCCTCGCCCTCACCACCACCACGGAGGCTCATTTGCATCTGTTCGGGCTGGTTCTGTTGGTTGGTGAAATGATTAGCTTGAGCTTGGGAGGTTTTGACTGAAGGGGGCGGGACACGTACGGGCTGGCCGGTGACGACCCGCTCGGTGACAGGGGCCTCAGGGCCGGAGGGCTGCTGCATAGTCACGGTATTGGCATCCCAGGTGGGCTGCTGGGTGGGAGCGGACTCCTTGTTGGACGACTTGAACCAGTTGAACATGGTGGAAATGTGATGAGTGAATGCGTTGGAGTATGAGTGTTGAAGAGGGAGGCGTGACGGTAGTGAGGATTATTAAATTGTTGTGGTGGTATTCGGGTATCGGCAATTCTGGGAGGAAAAAAAAAGAGAAACAAACCCACTCAAGTAGTGGAATCCACCGGTTATTTATCTCTTGAAAGTCAATCCGGGGTCCAAAGGACAGGACCTCAGTGCGCAGCATCAGCCCTACAGAACAGGCGTCAGCGAAAAGCCAACAATACGCTATGACTTCATCGTCGTTGGGCGAGAAGGACTGCCCAGGATGATCTATCATCCATGCGGTCTAGTGCTGTGCTGGCCGGGGGAAAACTGAGGGACAATGATGTGAGTGTTTCTATTCTGGACAGGGACGTCCAGGGCGCTTGACGTCAGTGGAGCCAGCCCTGTAAATTGGCGAAGGGATGGATCATGGAGGGTTCTTGCGGTGAGCGTGCGCGTGGTAGATGAGAGCGTGGCAGTATGGGTTGTACAGCCTTCAGCCGTCGAAGCGAAGCATGACAAGACACGGGCTGTGGTCGAGGCAGTGTTGTGCACCGGGAAAAAACGAGTGCTAGGCAGCCTCGTTTCGGGCCCCACCCATTATTGCCAGTTTTTGCGCCAGTCATTTCCCCCTCAAGCTTTGGTCAAGCTTTGCTTGGAAGCTTGGCCAATCAACGACCGCTCTTGGACCCAGCGGCAATGGGCGGGCTGAAGAGGGATCTTTCTGGCTGTTGGACTGCTCCGCTTGACGCTGCATAGGATAATGATAATACGAGTACGTGTTTCCACTGAGGCTGTTGACGGGTCATAGTTCAGCAGTCCTTCGACTCCAGATTGACTTTGTGCACACCTAGCCGGTTTCTCAATCATTTCCCCAGTCGTGGGAATGGGCTCTCTCTCCGTACTTACTGTCAGATCGTGTGTCGATTAGTGGGATCCGCGGACCCCGAGACACAAAGAAGTATCCACACTATCAGCGCTTGGTAGTAGGTTGAGGATATTGTGGCACCTGGCTGGCACTGTAGCAGTGCAGCAGTGCTGAATTGAGATCACAATTAGGGCTCCAAAATCGGTGGCTTAGCTCCTTGACCCCAATGACACTGCCTCGGAAACAGTCCAGTCTGCACGGATTCAGCGGTGTGTGAGTGTGTTTTGACGGTCGGAACTTCGTAAGTCCAAAGCTTCGCCTCGAACATTCCCCTATTAGAGTGGGTCAAAGCCATGGAAAAGGGACTGGCCCGTCTACAAAGGAGAAAAATTGATTGTGAGGCTGACGCGAGTAGGCACGCAAACTTTTGAAAGACTGACCATTCTGCGCAACGAATGATAAGCACATACAAGCCCATGATGCTCTCTACCCGATCCACCCATCCCGTACTTTCACCTTGTAGCTACCACGGGTTACCCCCATACGCATTGTCTTGTCTGTCTGAGGTGGAAGGGGCAATCACAGTCTCTACACATCGCAATTAGCCCCCATTTCCCGAGCCAGAAGCTGCTGCTTCTCTGACACCGCTTGTCTCAGGCCCCTACAGCACCCGCCGCCACGTGCACATCTCTTGGCCCGCTTCTCAACGCACCGAGCCAGCGCACACGCGATAATCTTCCAGACAACCACCCCAGTAGTACAAACGACCAACCCCGCGACCATCCCTAGCAACGCAGGCACCATCGCCGGAATGATGAGACGCCAGAAGTTGGGGTTGGAACGGTGGTGGTGCACGTAGGCGTCCATCGACGGGCCAGCCACGGCAAACGGGGACTTGCTCTCGTCGTTGTGGTGGCGGCGATGTCCCTCCCCATCAGTTGCGACGACCGTGTTGTAGGGACGAATGCAGGGTCTATCACCGCAGGAGACGTGGACCTCCGGCGTCGCATGCAAACTCTTGTGGAGGGCCTTCTTCTGCTCCTTGCGCCAGGACTTGTACTTGCCCACCAGCATCTTCCAGTACTGGGCGTGCCACACCTTGTTGCCGTGGCCGTGGGACGCATGGTAGTCGAGGAGCGGCTCGATGATAATTTGGGAGATCGAGAGGTCGTCTTCGTCAGCGTCGCGAGACAGGCGGACGTGGATTACGCTTGCGGTGGCGGGGCGACCGGTGGGATCGAAGAACTTGACCTCCACGAAATACATGTCGCCCACCGGGGAGTCGACCCTCGGTGGGAGGTATTCGATGTCCACCCCGTAGGTCAGGAGGACGGTCTCGACAGTAGCGCTGTCAATGTTGCCGTCGTGGTGCATCTGGACTGGAAGTTGCATGGGGTATCCGGCGGGGAAGACGCTGACGTTATTGACCAGGAGGGCATTGTGTTCGGTTCGGAGGTTCATTGCCTATGGACAAGATCAGTATTCGATTCTGGTCTTCCAGGATGAGGGAAATCTGGGGTCCATACCACAAAGGATGTCGAGGTTCTGTTGTCAACTAGGCCCTTGTCATCCTCTGGAGAACATTGAAGACACGGCAGGTGGATCTCATGGCCGGTCACAGTGGGAAAAGAGGGACGAGAATTGGGCGCGTTGGACAGTTGCTTTTGCGAGGAGTCGCCAGTCTTCGGGACCGGTGAGGCCAAAGAGCCCACCACCCAGATACTGGTGACGAGAAAGGAGCGAAGTTGCATTTGGCAAAGAGACGAAGCAATATACAATGTTAGAGGTCTGAAACAGTGAACGAGCGACGTGGGGTTAGTGCAAAACTCGGATGTGCTGAGCGAAGTTGTCAGTGGACATTCTCATGAAAACAAGAGTTGAACTAGTGAGAAAATTAATCTCTTGGTCTGGGCTGTCATACAGTTATCAAGGGTGCAGATACAGTGAATGGGAAAGGGTGGATATGGCTGTAAGGTAATAGGCAGCCATGTAACAGATCCAGCCCTACAAGGGGAGAGCCTCCCGAGTCCGCTTCCGCGGACCCCGAGGAGCAACGGTAGGGCTGACCGCGTTACCGCACCATCATCTTTCTTTTCTGACACCTCTGCATGATAATCACTTGCGAGCTGAAAAGAGATGTTCTCATAGATTTCTCGTATCGACCCCATGGACCACTGCTAAACGCTTGAATTGACTGTTGTAGTGGTATCAATCTTGAAGATCGATCCCGTTGGCAGGCCCAGCATTTCTCGCTCGGAACACTTCCGGCGCCCGACCCATAGTTGGCCCCATCGCGAAAAGAGTCGCATACTATTGACTACATTTCTCGGCCCTAATCGATGGGTCCGCAAACTAAACGACGTTCTGGTCGGCAAGACGCGTGGTAGTCAACGTGTCTTGAAGCTTGAAGACTCCTATCACTGTTCCAGCCCTGTTTTGACAGACTCCTGGCAAAGCAATTCGACTTTATGAGCAAGCAGCCTAGCATAAAGCTCACTATGCCTTGGTGTACGTCGTGTGACAGTTTGACTCAGATGGGTCTGTGGATCAAGACTGAATAAATAGGTCAGTTGTGCCATCCTTAGCTACAATATGTCAATGGGCCTCTGCAGAGCTCCTACGAAGAAATCCTAAACTAAACTTTAAGAATTGGACACCCAGTCAGAGTGAGCAACAAGACTTGGAATATGCGACAGCCTGGTCAGGAAAACTGTTCAACGCTCTATCGCCATCAAACCGTGAATCAATCCTGGATCTTTCAGTGGCTGGACACCCTGTGTCACATACGGAATCTCAGCGCATTATATAAAAAGGGACTAGCTTAGGCAGCAAGCTCATTGAGATTATCAGTGCTTTTTTGGCTAGCTATCATCTTACTCGGCTAACATAACCTCATATGGGGATATGTCTTAGCACGGGAAACTGCCTTAGACAAAATGTCTTAGACTGCGCAATTTGAGGCTGGTTCACCATTGACAGATTCTTTCTGGGGCGAGAGTTTGTCGTTTGCCTTACGAGGCTACAGCATTATCTATACACTCTCTAGCCCTGAGCTAAGTCGATGTGGCTGCCTCTATCACAAGAGAAAATGACAATAATGCGTGGATAGGTATATGATGTAAGGAAGAAGATGTCATTTAATGAAACAGTAAGTAGCGCTGTTTTCTATTTCCTCATTAGTCTGTAAGCTGATACTTGACAAATGCATGGAAATGATATCTCTGGGCGCTACTTTCTTCAACCATGCTCTCTGTCACCCCGAAAGACCAACTTTGTTGATCATCAAACAGCACTCTTTATTCCCAATTGAGAGGCGCAAAAGCCCTGCATGAGCCAGGTCAAAGTAAATTTTTGTCAGAGACAGGATATGAATGTATCGTACCGGTGAATGTAAACTCTCAGGGTGGCAGCAACCTGCCGTCCCGCGCTGTTCCACGTCACGACGCTCCGTGCTAGGCTCCTATGAAACTGAGACATCGAAGATGCAATGTAACCTCAATCTAACGGCAGGAAACCGCACTGTACTCTTCAGACCGAGGTGGGTTTCCGTTAGTTGCTGCTACCATAACCGGCAGTGGACACGGCTCGATGTGCTAGGAGTCTTGAGAAACAATACAGTTGACTGCCATTTGGTACAGTAGTAGAGCATTACTGGCGCCTAAAGTTAAGATATAGCAAATTACTTGCGGAGATACTGTTGCCGTTCTTGCCGGGCTGATGGTCATTCAATACCTGTCACCGTTTGATTCCTTGAGCATCGCTCATAAGTCCACAACCCGTTTTCACCTTTACAGCAGACTCCTTCGGTGTCTTCTCGTAGCCATCAGCGTAGTAAGGAAAGCAATAGCGAGAATAGTAGTTCAAATCGGCAAAGTCGGAGGTGATGCTGTATTGCTAGGTAAGACATTGCTTATGATCTGCATCAGACATGAAAAGCTCAAAGATTTGATTTCAAATGCATCTGTGCGCGGATCATGTGAATCTGGCAGCCCAGAAAAGTCGACCGCGTGCGGCCCTTAGCTATACTTCTTGATAGATTTCCATGTATCCTGAGCATGGTCTGAGCTCATAAATGTAGATGATTATCTGCCAGGAAGTTCCCTTTGCAGTAGTATCTTATCTGAACCCATCCTGCGACTTCTATATGATCATCGAAAAATGCCCTAGCAAGTCGCGCCGCGAGCTGTGTACTACTGCAACACCAGAGCCCCGGTGACTGCCATTCGGTTGCGCATCTGGCTATAGATATGATGACTGTGACACCAGATGCCACATACTTGTGCCCGGAGATGCATCCTGGGTCGTCGACAGCTGTGCATGGTGCGACGTCCCTAGGATTTCAACATCCTCATGTTCTATGACTGATCTGGATGGCATTATTCCAGTAAAGCCTGCATTCAGAGACTTTCCAGGCTATCAGCGTAATTTTATCACGCCATTCTACTCCATCAACATGAACATCGACCCGAAAGGACCCGCGGATTTTCCGAGATTTACTATTCCCCCCGTCTCCCCAACCCTCCGTCCCTACTTCGCCTGCCGCCCCTTCTCAGGGTCCGCCAAAATCTCCGCCTTCCACCGCGGATCGTCAGACTCCTTCACAGGCGCCCAACCGAGTTGGATCTTGAACCCCCACAATCAGCACACTTCCACACCTCAATCCCTTCGAGATGAAAGTTTAACAACGCACCTGCATAACCTTCTGATCCCAGTCCTTGGTGAAGCTTTTGACTTTCCCATCGCTGATCTCAAAGATGGCCGCCGCGCTCCACTGCGCCCGCTTGGGGGGGTCGAATCTCTCGATCCCCTTGTACGGCCTCCCCGCATGCGACCCCTCGGCGGTGTACCGGAGCAGGACGTGGCCGTCCTTGGCCCAGGCCTGATCGTAGCGCACGATGTGCAGGTCGTTAACCGACTGCATGACGGTGGCGTGCGAGTCGGCGTAGTCCATCGGGGTGCAGCAGCCCGGGAAGGTGGACGGGCTCCAGAACCAGCTGTCTGGGTGGCAGAGGTGGCGGACGGACTCGGCGCCGTGGTTCTCGGTCGGGGAGTAGGCGATGGCCATGTATTGCTTGGCGGTGGTGATGTTGCGCTAGAGTGAGGGTGGTGGGTGAGTATGATTATTTTGGATTCTTTTGTGGTGTGGCTTGTGTTGCCTGAGAGGATCGGGGGGAATGGGCGGGACTATACCTCTTCTTCGGGGGTTTGCGAGGCGGAGATTATGGTTGGCGGTGCTTGAGCGCTTGGAGACATGGTGGCTGTCTTGAACGTACTTCAGTTGCTGTGAGATTTGGCAGGGAAGATTGAAAAGATGTGAGGTTTTCTACGCATTGATAGAATGGGCAGTGTGTGTTTACATGGAGCGATTTCGCTCTGAGCTGTTTCGGTGGGCGGGAGGTCCCGGAGTCATTATGACGTGCATGATGGTTTCTCAACGACAGGTTTGTTGAACCACAATATTGTTATTTGAGCCAATGATGGGTTATCAAGATCATGTTCTGTGCTATCTTGTTCATCTTGCGATCCGGTTCTTGTACCTTGCGACTTGACTGTGGAGTCGAGAGGTCCCCGGTCCTCGTGGCGACTTGAGCATGTCAATGCTTGTCCAGATATTGCTGTGTAATCAAAAGGGCCTTTCTTATCGAACTTTATTATAGTCAAACTAGGGATTATACCCCACTGACTCCGTCGTTGCTGTCAAACGGCGTGGAGAATGGAAAATGTGGATGGGGGCTTTGCCAGGCAAGACGAATGCCTCGCTGCATGCATCTACACAAATCGTTATCATCCATCTTTGGCCCAATTGCGCCTGAAAATCCTTTCCATCCTGTGTTGGGTGATAATAGCTGTCATGAGAATTTACCTTCTATATCAATTCCTGTGGTTCTGAATGACTCATTCTTTCAGTTGTTCATGCTTTTGTCATGTTCTGTATTGTCGAAACAGCACTGGGCACACTAAACCACTTTCAGTAGTGCGGGGTAATGGCCCCTGACAGCCCAAACAACACAACTCCGAGTCTTTGACCAGCTTGCGGCCGTCCTGACTGCTTGTACATGTTTTCGCTAGTGCTCCAGTGACGTCTGTTCACTTTCTATAACATGCAGGTGCCTCTTTACTCCGAACTGAGCGTCGATGAGAAAGGAGGCTCACCACTCTCCCCGCCATGAATCCATCGCCTCCAGCAAGTTCCTCTCTCACTTCACCCTCTCATACGGATCATGCGGTTTATTCTATGACGACGCTGAGGATTGCTTGTTGCGCAAGCCGTCATGCGCATGCACTTCCTAACCCAGGGAACAGATAATATTCCAGCATTAGGGCACGGGTGATATGTCAGAGACAAGCCTTGCGCCCGGGCGGACTGCCAGCAAAAGAAGGAATATTAAGGCCAGCATGGACATGGCAAACTTTCCACGTCTTGATTAGCCCCTTTCTCGTACCAAATCTCTTTCAGATATACCGCGCATCTCTACTATGTCCAAAACCATGAGAAGCCACCTGATGCCCGAGAAAGATTGTAATTTCCTCCTTGGCTTGGCTGAGGCAGCCGTGCCTGATTTGTTATTTACAGTCCCAGCCTCTTATGGCTATTACACCCAAAAAGGGGGTTAGAAATGAGATTCCATGTAGAGGCAGAAACGCATGATCGGAGACTATGCAGGGTGTCATACCATCTCCGATAACTCCTCCATGCATTACTCTAGTGCAGATCATCGGCGGTAATACTAATACCGGTGAGCGCAAGCATGCTACTACTGCCCCGCAACTTCCCTCCTCCATCAACAAACATCCCACCACCACCGTAACAACACAACCACCAACTGCTACGCAGAAGCCATGGCGCCTCGAAAAGCTCTCTTCGTCATTGACATCCAGAAAGAGCTTGCCGTCGATCCCACAACCAGAGTCCCGCATGCGGATCGAGTCACCGCGTCCGCCGAAGGAACCCTCAACGCCGTCCGGTCGGTCATCGATTCCTACCGCGAGAAGAACCAACTATCTCCGTGGGCTATCTATTTTATTCAGCACGAGGAAACCTCTGCAAACGGAACGCTACTGCGGGGCAGCGAGCCGTGGGAACTGGTGTTCACCCCGCGGGTGGATGTCGAGGAGGAAGTCGTGGTCGCAAAGAAGACTGGTTAGTATCTGGTTACCGGACTCTGCGCATGACAGTACGTTGACAATAGGTTGAAAACTCCAGGCAACACGTTCGAGTCGAATCCTACCCTCTCGACGCGCCTCCGCAATGCCGATATCAACGAGATAGTGGCCCTGGGCCTGCAAAGTGAGAAGTGCGTCGAAGCGACCTGCAAGGGTGCGTTGGCGGCGGGGTTCCGCTTGACTCTTCTTGCTGGGGCGCACTCGACGTACGACTCGGATGGAAAGACGGCAACAGAGCTCGAGCGCGAGGTTGAGCGGCGTCTGTCGACTCGTGGGGCTCGTGTGTTGCGGTGGGAAGAGGCGGCTTCACAGTGGGTTCAGGAGCAGCGTAGATAGTTTGTTTAAGGGCCGGTCGGGCATTCTTACCAGCCTTCTTTTCTAATTGAAGTCTTAATCCACATATGCTTCCAGATGAAATGTCATTCATGTTAGTCACAAGAAACAACTGAGACTGAAGCTTTTTATCGTGACTGGGAATGCGCATCGGAGTTTCAAAGGATATATATGAATGATGAATCGGACCATGGTGAGAACAGAGATGAAAGGAGGAAACTCGGAAATAAGGACTGTGATAACAACTCTGACATCAAATGTGCTTACACTAGCTTTGCTCTCTCAGTACAACAACCAAAACTAAAGAAGAGTATAATGGCCGGCAGTCCAAAATATTAACGTATTCACATAGAACTTTATGCGGCTGATATAATGAGTCAGCTGCATTAGATTTACGTCATTAATGCTGTACTTACGAATGACACCTTACCAGAAGAAGAAGGCGTTCCGGTGGGAGACTCGCCAAAAATGGATTCTCGACGCTGCCACTCAACGACATAATTCCGATTCCACTTCTCCATGACGCACCAGCTGAACTACTCTCAAGCGAGGCAGTCTGCACATATGGTATCATAGTGAATAAGTGTGCTTCGCTGGATGCAGGGTTCTAACAGTAAAGTTTCGAGCGCGTGCCAGCGTTGTCGACGCCAGAAGCTCAAGGTATGCACCCGATAGGAACACCCCGTCTCCTGTCCACTGGGTTGATGTGTTTCGAAGTGTGATGTTCGGCGACCATGTACTCTTTGCCTCAGAGCCGGGGCTCATTGTGCACCAGGGGCAACTACTCGCTGGAGGCCCTACAATCCTGTAGCTTCCCATCCAGCCCCCAAACGCCTCCCCGTGCAGGACAGTTCTCGCCAAGACGATGACCCAGTTACTGCTCGACAGACACATGACATATCAGAGGCCGGAAGAGTGTCGGCAACTGATGAATGCTGGCAATCAAGCTCGATGCTCTCTCTAGTGGATGGGGTAAGTTCCTCTATGATATGGAAAGGGGAGCAAAGGCTCAAATGTCTAGGCATTCCGATTGCACAACACCCACGCGCCACCAGATCGCACAACAACAGCTATCCCAGGAGGTAATGTACGACATGATAGCCCGATGGCCCCAAACACTGGAGTTGATGCAGCACCTTCAACGAGCAGGGATCCCTCTCTGCTCACGCCACAATATGTCTACAACGGTTTGTCCTTGCCTACCACCGAGCTTCTATCATTGATACCCCCATATGAAGCTGCGAGCTTGCTCGTGGACACGTACTTTGACCGCGCCCACTGGTTCATGTTGATCTTCCAGCAAGATGACTTCCGGCAGCGATGGCCGAAGCTCTATCAGCGCCACCCTGGCCGACCAGCAGAATACTCCAATGCCGCGTTTTTGTCCACCTTTCTCGTGGTGATCGCCATCGGGATTCATTACGTGGGCCCATATCGGCGATCATTACTAACCAGACACGGCGTCGATTCAAGTCTGAAAGACCGTATCCTGTCTTGTGTAAGAGCCAAACTGTTGGACGTTATGTCGCTCGGCTCGCTGGAAGCAGCGCAGAGCTGCGTACTGCTAGGAACTTACTACTTGTACCATGGTTCCCCCCGTCTGGCATGGCCTGTGTGCGGTTGCGGACTCCGCATTGCACAGGCCTTGCATCTGCACCGCCGGTTACGGCCTTCGGGGTCCCCTGATTTTCGCCAGCAGTATGAAACACGGAAGCGGTGTTGGTGGGCTATCTATGAGATCGAGACTTTCTCTGCCGTGGTATACGGCTACCCACACAGTATTTGGGATGCTGATTGCGACGTGGAGCCCTTGGACCCATCAGCAAAGCTGCAAGTTATGCAATGTTCGAGGATACCCGATGACCTTCAGGCGCCCAAAACGACGTTGCTGTATTACAAACGCCTCATGTCTGAGCTATCTGTGGTAACTAAAGCAGCCCTGGGGGAGTTGTATCGCACCAAGCCTTCTCTAGTAGAAGATGGTAAACCGATCAAGTCACGACGGGACTTACAGGACACCCTCCAAGCAGTGGCCAAGTACAATAGTCGCTTACAGCAGTGGCAAGCCAAGCTTCCCCTCGAACTTCAATGGGATCGAACTTCCGACCAGGCGAATTACTCAACCCCAGAGGAAATAGATCGCGATATCGGAGCGACGGGGCCGCGCTTCGAGAGCCACATCTATCAGCTCCAGGCTATGACTTTGATGTTGGCGTACGAGAATGCCATGATTCTTACGCACAGGCCTCTTCTGTCTTACAAGCTGCACAGCAGCACAGACTCTGAGACTCTCCGAGCGGGCTCGGACCAAGCTGATCAGCCAAAGCCCAACCCATTCGTCTCGTCATTCGAGGCTTGTCGCACTGCAGCGCTGAGAATGTCCTCTATCCAGTCAAGCCCAATTCTGAAGCTTGTCGCCGAGACCTACGCTGTGACCTTCGTCAGCATACATACCTTTACCGCGGGAGTTACCTTGGGTATTCTGTGCAGCATGGATCCCTTGAACCAGCAGTCCAGTGCTTCCAAGCTAGCGCTGCAAAATGTGATGGAGATACAGGAGACGCTAAAATCGCGCTCGGTGGTGGCGGAGCAAGGACTAGACATCCTCCAGCGACTGACCAAGCTTGTAATGCAGAAGGAGCTAGACGTGCTGTTGGGCAAGAATAAACGCACGACTACGCTTTCAAATAGCCCAAGTAGACCATCTGTGCAAGCTTTGCCGGACGAGCTGCAAGTTGTCTCTGGGAATGTGACATCTCAGGTCTCTACTACGGAGGGCGTCGCGACTCTTGACCGTGGTGCTCCCAGCGCCCTACCGAGTCCAGATGACATTTTGTACACCAATGACCCTGCAATGACGGATGCCTTGCACGATTTTGACCAAGGTCGAATTTCTCATTCCTCTATCATTTCTCAAACTAACACATGATTCAGCATTGCTATCCTATGCCCCCCAACCTTGCGGAGAACAGGAAGAGACGGCAGAAAACCCGATTCTGTGGCCGCCAACCCTGGACGGCTTTCCGATCCTGGAACAGACGTGGCTATGGGATCTCGACCATGATCCCTTGTTTCATGGTGACCTCGGAACTTGACCGCGAATTGCCGAGTCGATCCTGTGAAACTAGAAACCCATGAATGCTCAAATTCCGAAGCATAATCAGCGGACCTAATAGCCGCCTGTGATCCCCTCCGCCACCATCGGCTTAAACGCCACCTCCACCGGCTCATTCCCAATCCCCCGCTTCCTGGCCTCTTCCAGGATGGCAACCGTCGCAGTGGCCCCGATACGTGTCACGCCCAAGCTCATCACATGCAGCAGATCATCCAAGGTCCTCACGCCCCCGGCAGCCTTAATCTGCACCTTCTCCGCGGACTTCTCCCGCATCAACTTCAAATGCGCTACGGTCGCACCCCTGTATTTATACGACCCATCCCCCTGCTTGACAAACCCATACCCGGTCGAAGTCTTGACGAACGCCACCTCTAGCTGCGAGCAGATCTCGCACAGCCGCGCAATCTGCTCGGGCTGCAGGTAATCATTCTCGAAGATGACTTTGAGGGCGGCCCCGTTGGCGACGACAGCCTCGTTGATCCGGCGGATCTCCTCCGTGACATACACCCAGTCGCCGCCGAGGACCTTGCCGACGTTGACGACCATGTCGATCTCGGCGCCGCCCGCCTGGGCCGCGGCGGTGGCCTCGAGGACTTTGATCTCGGTCGTGCTGTTCCCGTGCGGGAACCCGATGACCGGGCAGATGAGGACGTCCGAGCCGGCGAGTTCTTGCTTGGCGAGCGGGATGGCGTAGGGCTTGACGCAGGCGGTGGCGACGTGGTGGGCGCGGGCGATCTGCAGGCCGGCACGGATGTCGGCGTCGGTCATGGTCGGATGCAGGAGGGAGTGGTCGATCATTTTGGCCAGCTGGGGCAGGGTCACGGTGATTTTGTGGGACATGGTTGTGTTATCTTGCTTGGATAGGCTGGTAGACTATGAAGTTGTATGTGGTTTGTTTGGGATGTCGTAGAGAGTTGGGGTGTTTTATATATCCAGGCTGCGTGTATAAGGTCTGAGCGTCTTCCGGTGGAGGACCTTCCATATCCGGTAATTTTTTCCACCGGTGCAGTTCACAACTTGTCTGTTGAGAATTCGTTCAAGATGCGGAGATATCGATCTCTCCTGAAATCTGCAAAAATTATATATCACAGCACGAGGCATGTTTTTACAATTGCCAAATATGAAACCAGGGGGGGGGAGGGGGACGACCACTATAGACTGTCTGATAGCAGGCCGGAGAACCCGATCGAGGCCAGATTGACCTGCCCCACGGGGAGGCGGATTAGGGCTCGGCACACGTTCCGTTGGCACTGCCGATCAGCCAAGTTAAGTATTATCAAGTTGGATATACTTTACAGTATCCACTATCAGCCAGCGGGACGCGAAGAGATTATGACCAATCGCAAATCGACATTCGGTCTGTCGATCTCGATCTCGATCTCAACGATAAGAACAGAACCTTGCCAGCTGGATGATCAATTCCCAGCCGAGAAAATCCGAATATTGTCATCTCAACGTCCCAATGCGGACACCTTCCCCGCGACGCCCTTTGGAAGCATTCCAAATCGCTGATTGAACACCAGTGCCTGAGGACGAACAAAGGCCTGGACCACAGCCCCGGGTTTTCCGCCAGATGGGAAAGAAGGGGCGTTACTTGTACCCATGGACGATTCTGATAAACACCGGTCATGACATCACGACTGCGCGCCAAGCTCAATCAGCCTATTGTCCCACGTTTGTGCCAGGCGGGAATATCCCCCGTAGGTATGAGCTACCGACAACAAAACCAAGCATCTGCCACACCCCATCATCCCTGCTTGTTTACCCCCTCATCCCTGCAGAAACACATGCTGGCTATAACATGCGAATATGTCGAACGAACACATCCTCCCGGGACGATCCAATGACCAAGAAAAAGCCGCAGACGGCCCAAAAACAGACAGCCTGTACGAGGCGTACGAGATCGAACTCCAGAGCTCGGCGGGCGGCAGCATCCGCTTTGGGGATTTGATCGCCGGCAAGGGGTCGAATATCACGACTTTGGTGATTTTCAGTGCGTTGGCCTGACCATACCCCCCCTGGATTTAGCATATACATATACCCCTGCTAGTTATCTCAACCCCGCTCTGCTCTGCAACCTCAATCCTCCTCGCTATCTCAGCCATGCTCCCCCCCTCCCCTACTAACATTCACTCCCCCTGGGAGATAAAGTAAGACACTTCTTCTGCATCTACGACCAATCCTACGTCCGCACCCTCTCCCACCACCTGAGCGACAGTCTCCTCGCCTCCCTCCCAGACCCACAAAATACCGGCAGCGGCGGCGGACCCTGCCAGGTCATCATCATCGGCTGCGGCGACCCCGCCCGCATCGTCCCCTACGTCGCCGAGACCGCCGCCCGGTTTCCGGTCTACACCGACCCCACCGGCCGCATCTACTCGGAGCTGCGCATGAAGCGCACCGTCCACGGCATCACGCGCCCGCCCGCCTACACCGAGGTGTCGTTTGTGCGGGCGCTGGGTCGCACCCTGCGCCAGATGTTCTCGGCTGGCGGGTGGAGGCGTGCGTTGCGGGGAGGGCCTTGGAATTTGAATGGCGGGGAGTGGGTTTTCAAAGGGGGGCGGTGCGTGTATGTCCATCGGATGGAGAGTGTGGGTGATCATTTGACGGCGGGGCAATTGTTGGAGGTTTTTGGGGGAAGGGGAGGGGGAGGGGGAGGGGGAGGGGGAGCGGGGGCAGAAGTTGAATCAGGATGGATGGGAGGGGGAGGAGAGGTATGAGGTGTGATGTTGGGTGGGTGGGGATAGTGGTATTATCGGATGGAGTTGCTAGGGCTGGATCTCTGGGTTCTGCACTTGGTGTTGGTCTGGCTGGGATAACACGGTTATATACCCCCTTATAATGTATGTCACGATTCTTGCTGCACTTCATTACTAGTTTCTTAGACTTATGTATCCAATAGAACATGTGGTAGTCAGTTCTTGTGTGGGGTTTACATACACTCCCGCTCCCCGGTGTAATCCTTAGAAGAACATGACAACTAGATCAGATTATTGATCCTTATATCAGAGATGACTACACTCTAAGCCCGACAGAGAGAGAAGGCTCCAGTGAGAGCTTAAATCTAGAGGCTAAGGGACACTGAATACAGGGATCATACTATCCTGCCACCGCAGGCAGCCATCTCCCTACCTCTTAACCGCAACAACAGATCTGACCATAAGTGGTTGGCCCCTTTCAATCCTCTCCGTCACAGTCCGGTGATAATCCTCCCCTCCGGTATCCTCGTTTAGGATACTGTTCCGACACGACCAGATCCGAGCTAGGTCCGCATTGAAGCGATCACCCTTAGCACGCCGCTGCTGGACGAACGGTTCGTCCCACTCCCTGTACCCGGTGTGCCACCTTCTGCGCTTGTCGTGGATGGGGACCCAAACGATGACTTTCATCTCCTTCGGGCACTCCACCACCTCCCACGTTCGATGCACGACGTCGATATCGGCGAATCTCGCCGGGGGGTCACCCGTGGCGTTGCTCACAATGGAGACCTGTCGACACTCGGGATGGGGACTGGACCATTTCCAACTCGGGCACACATGCTCCGCGCCCTTTTTGTGGAGGAGGCTGCTGGGGAACGCGAGGCGGGTGAGCGGGGTCGGATGTTTCACGATCGTGGGGTGGCCGGGACGGGGGTTCCAGGGCCACATGTGCGCCAGCTGCTGGTCCACCCCCGCCTTCAACATCAAATTGCGGATCCGATGGGCATTGGGGAAGAAGTTGAACCATTGACGGTACGGGATATAGACGGTGTCACGGGTAGGATCGAACGGCCGCACGACGGAGAACCGGCGCGTCTTCTTGTGGTAGCGGATCTGTAGGCGGGGCTGTTGCTTTTCCCGCCAGCGCAGGGCGACCCATCGGGCCTCGTGGTTCAGGGAAAAGTGTGGAAGATGGACCTCATAGCAGTCTAACGGACGCGGGTCGAATTCGATGTGAAGCTCGTTTTTCTTTTCGTCTTGGGCGTTCTTTGTCTCGTCCAGTCGGGCTGTCCAGCAGTCGTATCGCCAGGTGTACAGCGGGTCGACGACCGGATCGGGCAGCGCAGCCTCCCAGACCATCAGGCGGAGCTCGGGAGGGAGGCGTGAGAGAGGAGGATTCGGTGATGAGGTTGTCATGACTCTGGGAAGGATGACAAAGACGGCAGTGTGACAGCTGAGGAGAAGGATCTTGGATGCGTAAGGATGACGGATGACAGATGACGAATAACGGAAAGTGGTTAAAGGTGGATGGAGAAGATGGAATCTGGATGAATATGAAAGAGATAGATAGAAAAAGCTGAAGTGGTGAGATGAAGAAGAAGAAGAAGAAGAAGAAGAAGAAGAAGAAGAAGAAGAAGAAGAAGAAGAAGAAGAAGAAGAAGAAGAAGAAGAAGAAGTCAGCCAAGCCAGGAAGAAAATACCTGAAGCTGGTTTCTGTTGAGTTACAAGTTGGGAGAGAGTACTGACTGCAGTGAATAGGAGAACTCTCGCTTGGATGACACATGACCAGCATGATCCGTGTTTTGTTTCTTTATTGAACATATTAATTCCAAGAAAACGTCATCATAACATGTCTTTCGACCAACTACTCTTCATCACAAAACCTCCGCCTAAACCTTCACATTTCCATCCACCTTCTCCCCTACCCCCTTCATCTCCAACGTCGACCGCTCTCTGGTAACATTCAAATCCGTCCCCCGATGTCCATCCAAGAACCTCTTGCTGACGTGTTGGCAGACACAGGGGACACCCACGCCAGAACATAGAACGCCGTCGGGATGGCCATCTCCTTTGGTCACTGCGCCGGTCATCGGAGGCAACGCTTCGCCTCCGGGTATGGTGGCGACGGGCATACTGCCGCCACGCTTGGTCGCGTGCCCAAGACCACGGAGGGCGAGAGCGAAGATGGTTGCGAAGCAGGCCTGATCAAATACATCTTTGTCTGTGAGAAACTGGACACAATGGATGTGGAGAAGAAGTACACTTTCAAGACACAAGACTAGAATGAGCATGGTGACACTGATAGCGCCGCTGGTAAGAGTGGCTGCCAACCCGAAAACGAAGCAGAGGGCCAGATAACTGACGATGTATAATCATGCTGAATAGTCTGACTCTACGGTATGTACATGCAAGAAATATCCTCAAGTCTATGGAAGTGATACGCGAATATCAGCACACGATCCACCAGCGACCGCGACTTCCAGTGTCCCTCTGCCGCTGCTCGTCGGCTTCCCATCGACTGTGTATGATTCAACAGCAAACGGCAAGATAACGACGCCCTTCGTCTCCTTCGGCCCACAAACCTGCAGTTGCAGGCTCTTCTTGTCGGCACCGCCCAACCGCCAGCTAGCCTGGATTGGCCCTCGAGGGGTGGGCACACGACCTCGGGCCCACGAGACTTTCACATCCAGAATTGCAGGCTGGAACACCCACGTTTTGAATCCAGACGATGTGGACTGAACGCCCAGGACATACTCCGACAGGACATAGGTCGGAGCGCCGCCCCAGGGATGCGCATGGGAGGTATACAAGTCCAGACCGGGGCGACCATCAGGGTACAGATATTCCCACGAGGTTCCTGTATAGTACTCATCCTGGGTGACCATTGCGGCCCACAATTGGTCCAGCAGCACGCTGATGGCAGTGGCTCGCTCCGTCGATGCATCCGCGCTGTTGCGACTTGCTTGGAACAGCGCCTCGAGCAGGAAGCCCGACAGGAACGGTGCAAGGTTGGTGCTCGAGGAGTTTGCGACCGAAGTAGAACTCTTGTACCCGATCCCTAGGCGCAGCGATGAAAGCGCCGCAATCGTAGACTGGGCTTGGGTCGCGTTGGCGATGCCGGACAGAATCGCCCATGCGCTGCCTGCAATGGCCTGTTCGTCCAGAGTGCTGATGTCCACGCCATAGATCCCCAGTGCCGGGTTCCAGAGATGCTGGTTGACGGCTTGTTTGATGGTTTGAGCAGACTGGCTCCATGACCAAGCCGATTCGGTCGCATTCACAGCAATCGCGAGGTCGGCCATACCGCTCAGAGTGTGAGCGAGCAGGGCCGATGCCGCAGTACCATTGCTCGACCCCAGGAAGAACGCCCCAATGTTGTCAGTGACTGCCAGACCAGTCTGCTCGTCGATGAGCCGCAGCACCGCCTCAACTCCTTTTTCAATCTTCGACCAATACTTCTGGAGAAAAGCACGATCGCCGGAATTCTTGTAGTACCCAGCCACGGCCTCCAACGTGAAGAACTGGTAGTCAAGCAGACCAAAGGAGCTGTAAATGTCAGTGTACTTGGCGGACTGGCCCATCTGTGGCGACATGCTGAAGAGCCCCTCGTACACCGACGAGTTGTCTGCCTGACGGTCCATGAGGTACTCCAAAGTCCCCGAGATGAAGTCATTGCGATAGGTGCTGGCTTGGACGATGCGGTAGGTGTGGAAGAAGTCGCCCGACCACACGAGTCGGTCGCGTTTCGCACCATCCAGGCAGACCGAGTGGGTGTTCGGCAGAACGCCATATTCTTCCAGGACTGCATCCGAGGTCATCGGATTCTGGTAGAGCACGGTTCCGTTCTGAGCGTGCACTTCCACGTCCTTGACCAATGCCACCTGGTCCTGGTACGGGCCGAATCCCCAAGTGCCACCCGTCAGACTGCCTGACCCTCCGATTGTGCCAGCCGGAGTCTGTAGATCGGCCAAGGGCACAAAGACTTCAGTCTTGTTGACTACCACCCCGTATCCTGTGGCATTGATCAAGGTCGCGATGTGGTACCATTGATCTTCTTTGACATCAAATGGCAGCGGGTAATAATTGACCTTTCCTGAGGTGAGGGAAGTCTGATTGACCAGGTTCCATCCATAGCCCACCGCCAGAGTGTTGGGCGGCACGACCGTTCGGTTGACGTTGACGAATGTTGAGTCGGAAGGATATTCACTGGTGAGGACGAAGTAGGCGCCGTACCCGCCCACGCCGGCGGCCACTTTCCAGCCAGTCCCGCCGCGCACGATCTTCGTATCGAATGTCAGGGTGTAGTTGTCAAACGATGCTCCCTGGACCGACTGGGCAGGTTGCTGGCCTCGCAGATACACTCCGTCTTCGGTAACTTCCCATGTCGAAGGTGCTGCGCCCGCTGCGATGCATGCTTGCTGCACCGTTCGCGCCCCCAGGGCCCAGATCTTGTTGTATAGACTGTTCGACGATTCGAAGAAGCCTGGCAGGCGGTCGACGGGCGTTCGTTCATTCTCAGACCTCAATCCAATATCGCAGATACGAATGCTGCCATCGGTCAGCAGTTTCAGGTTTTGCCAACGCTGACCCCCCTGGATGAAGAACGACTTGACGCGCCCGGTGGAAGTGACGTTGAAGGTCTCGACGCGGAAGGTGTTGGAGAGACCATTGGCAAAGTCAAAGGGGCCGTCTGCAAATGGCTCATCTAGCCCGGTATAAGGCTCGCTATACTTTGCTTCGATTTGAACAGGGGTTGAAAGCGATTCAACCTCAAAGTAGGGAAAGCCTGCAGCCTCAGTGCCGTAATCCAAGGTAACCAAAGGGGTTTGAGGGTCGAGGGTAAAGCAGGGAGATTGCGTGTCGCTTGTATAATTCCGGAAACCGGCATTGGTCCGATAGCGTGTAGGACGTACCAGCGTCTCCTTGCTACTGCAGAGTTAGTTCCCAGATTTGTTGCTGCAAGCTGCGCCATTGGGGAATACCTGTGAGCATTGACCAGGGGAGTCAGCGCCAGGCAACCCCAGAGCACGGGTGCAGCGATTGATCCAAGAGTGAATGGCATGGTATCTCCTCCGCCACTGAACCTTGTTGTTAAGTGAAACAGGGTGAAGAGAAGAGACCCTGAAGTGAAATTATAAGAGGCTCCCCTCGGGAGCTGTGGTGGACCTCCAACCTAGACCGAGGCC